AGCACCTGATGGACTGCACGTATTCCCTTTCACCGTTTCACCGTTTCAGAACATCAGATTTTATATGCTTTTGCTTAGTTGTAAATCTTAAAATTGCAGAATAACCTGAATTCCGAAAAGGCGAAAAGGTGACAACAGTGTAATGAATACAATAAACAGAACCAGCTTCTACCATAAGCTGATCTGTTTAGTGCCATCCTTTTTCTAATTATATTTCTGTTTTTCTTGCTAGCGTCTTCTAAAATATATTCTTTGGTTTGTGCAAATAGTTGCAAAGGAAGTCCTAGAGGATGGCTCCACCCTGTCACGATGAATTGCATTGTACCGGTCCAGAATCTCATATTCGCTCCGCATTTGTCCAGTTCAACACACTTTATTTGCAGAAAGAGTCTGACTATTATATTTCGGTCGTCCCTATTTGCATCTTCTTCAGTTTATACTTTGGTTTGTGCAATTTTTTCCTCATTGTTACGTCCAAGAGTAAATAACTACTTTTCGGTTTTAAAAAAAGCCATGTGTGAGTAGAATCCGGGCGTGAAGATTGTTTGTTTAGGGGGGCGTTCGTTTTTGATCTACAGGTTTGGGTAGAAACTACTTCTTACGGTAGAGGAGTTCGTTTTTGAAAAAAATTCTACTCAAAAGGGTAGATTCTACTTTCCTCTACCGGCTCTACCGGGAAAAAGTTGGTAGAATCCGGTAGAAGTTGGTAGAGCTACGGGATTTCCAGCAAGATCAAGGATTTGTACACAACTCCATAAAAAAAGAAACGTACACATCGTGTAAACTACTAGATCTGGTAGAACAGCGTTCGTACACTTGCCTCTACCATCTACCTCTATCGGTAGAGTGACTCTACTCTACTCTACCAGGTAGCTAAAAGCGAACGCAGCCTAGGTCAGAGTGAATAACCTTTGCTGCACGTCATACCACTTCACACTGTGATTCCACCGTAACACCGAGGTGCGTTTTGTCACGTATTGCTTGTCATGATGTCACGATGATGATGATCGTGAAAAAGCAGGAGAAGCTATTCTCATCGCCATGGCGATACGGGTATATGGCTACGAGCCTATGGTTTGATTGGTGTTGTAGGATCCACATCATAATGACGTAAACAAACAATCAGCGCTGTGTTCGTGATTATACTATGCATGCAGAAAGGGCAGCAGTATGAACCTACAAGTTACGTTATAAAAAAATGTTCTTTATCTCTGATCTTGCTGACCCACCCAAGTTAGGTGGTGTGTTGCTTTGCTCAGCGCGGCTTCGAATTGTAGTTAGACCGCATTGTCATGTACGGTCATGGACCTGTAACAGTGGGCATTATTTTTTGCCGTGGGACTTAGCTTGTGCACATTTTCACTGCGCTCACCTTCCCCTCATTGGTCCTACCATAACCTTGAACCTTCCAAGCTGGAAGGTTGTTGGTTTGGGCACCACTTATATACTGCTCAATCTGTCCCTCCAGAAACTTGCGGAGACATTTCGGAAATATCGCGGAAAAAGTTGCGAGGTAATATGCCACAAATTGCGGGGAATATTGCGGATTTTAGAGAGGTTAAGTTACACGTTTTTTGCCCTTTTTCAAAACGCGGTGCAAATCTCACGTTACGTGTAATTTTTAGAGTTAAGTTACACGTGCGACGTGACGTGAAATTTTGCCTGGCAGGATTCGGGTTTAGTTCGCACAAATATCAAATCTTCCAACAAACTTGATAAATCTCGATAAAATTCCGGAAACTCACACAAATTCGGTCGGGATAACCAAGCGAAACTTCCAAAAACTCACGTCCTGAACTTACGTGCGGGACAGTCAACTCACGTGAAACACGTCAAATTTTACGTGAGTTTTTTCACTTTTTGACGTAAAAGTTCACGGACGTAAGACTTTTACGTGAAACTTAGGGTGCGTTCTTAAATCCTCTCGGAAAAGTTGGAGACTCTCCGAAAAGTTCGAGAGCTGTTCTTATATCCTCTCCGAATTTTAGGAGGCTCTCCAAAGCTCTCAAAGCTCTCCAAGCTTCAGAGGTGGTTGAAACTTGGAGATTCCCGCGGTTTGGGATCAGCGCATGCGAACTAGGCTAAAAGCCACGTGTTGATCATGAGTGTACGCATTTCCCTTTTCGCATACGCACAGCGCATACTATTTTCGTGGCACTCAAGATCGCGGCCCCTTTGGCGCTTCCTTTTGCTTGACATCTTCAAAATATCTCCGAATTCTTCGAGACCCGTTCTTGAGGAATCCCAGTTTCTTCGACTTCTCTTTTCTTCTTCTCCTAGAAGCTAGGGAATTTAAGAACGCACCCTAAACCTCTCTTTTGTCAAATATTGCGGGATTATTGTGGTGAAATTGCGGCCGATTTGCTACTTGTACTGTACTGTAGTGGTGTACGATGTACGAGTCGTACAGCATAAATCATGCATCACAAAACAGAAAGTGTGCTGCGCTGACTGTCTGTGTTTTTTTGTTTTTGTTTTTTTTTCTTTCACAACAACTGCCAAGCCTCTTATACGGGCAAAATAAACACAATTACGAGTGCAACCTCAACAGCACCGGAAGAAAAACGAGCAAAAAATGGCTGTGAAGAAAGTCGAGAGAGCAAAAAATTAATGGCTGTGAAAACAGTCGAGAGAGCAAAAAAAGGCTGAGAGCAAAAATGGCTGTGAAAACAGTCTAGTACGGAGCCTCGGGAGGGAGCTTTAACCGATGCTGCTCATGGCAACCGCAAATCGGGCCGAGTCATTTGCATCTAAGGGCACGCGGTGCCGATGGCCTGGCAGACTGGCAACAGCCGCACGGATGAGGGCAAAGCTGAGCTTACATCGGATGTAGGACATTGTGGCAGCGTACGGCTCCTGCTTCTTGTCGGCGAGCATCGATGCCAGCCGAGCATAGAGTGCTGTCGCAGCTTTGCCATACCCTCCAGTGCAGGACAAGACAACTGGTGAGAAGGAGGCGTGCTCGACGTTGGTGATCCGTTCCTCGTAGCGGCGACGCTTCTCCTGCTCATGTCGCTTGTACACAGCGGGCAAGGCAAACTTGGCGTTGGTGGGGGCGTGGGGGTTGAAAACCCGGACATCAAACTACGAACGCTCGTACCGACCTCCCCAGACTCCACTGGCACCGATGTCTAGGCGGGCGTTGTCTTCAGTTGAAGCTGACCGTAGCGTCATCCTCTCACCTGTCAGCGGCTCTAGCAGCGGTTCCACCACAACTTGGTGCGCAACTTCCTTCATGATGGATGCTGTGAGGTCGCGTACCTCGTTGTGGCGGAGGCTAGGGTAGCCGCCGGTTGAGCAGGAGAGAGCATGGGCCACGGCGAATGATTTACCACAGCTGCAAGCAGAGGGCAAACGCTTCAGAGGCCAGCCATATCGCAATGAAACCGCATCGTGAAATGCGCCCTTCGATAGCGTGAAGCCAAACATCTTCAGTGGTTTGCATGTCAGCCACGACGAGGCACCCTTCTCCGCCGCCAGCTCCCTGGACCGCTTTAAGTCCGAAGCGATGCTCTCTTCCACAGCGACTAGGGTCTCCTTCTCCCTTACGGAGTGGATCCTGCGCACCTTCGCCTTCTCTGCCTTCATGGTGTGGTGAACATCACCTAGGTCCGTGTTTTGCACGATGATCCGCTCCACCAATGGCTGCGTGATGGTCCTGGAGTCATCCAACTGGCTGGCGAGATCGCACGGGTTGATTAGACCCATGCCCCCTAGGCGACAAGGCAGAGCGAGGAGAGTGCGGGTGGTCTGATCAGGAGCGGGGTGTCCTGTGAGCGCCGGGATAAACTCGCCATGGATAATCTCCTCCAGTGGCTGGAAATTCTCCGTCGCTTCTGGCATGGTGCGAGCGAGGAATGTCCACTTGCCCTTCAGCCGTTGCGTGAACGCCGTGTACGCTGCTTGTGGTTGCGATTGGGCGTACCTGGTGAGGACTTGCAGTTCCTTCACCCATTCCGTGACCTTCGCTGCAACAAACTGCTTGCAGAAAGTAGCAGTGCCCAGTCCCGCACCCAGGTGACGGCAAACATCTTGCATGATCGCGATGTTAGTCCCATGGAACACTTCCTCCGCGGTTTTGGCAAACTGTGGTTTCTCCAGGAGAGTGGACTTGTAACCATTGATGAAGTATCCGTACTTGTGGCCCTCCTCCTCGAGCGTGTTCCACCATACACGCAGCGCACGCATACGGCCTGCTGCTGTGGAATCATCCGCAAACCAGATGTGCTGTGCCACTGAGCTGCTCGCCGCCTTTTGCATGAGTGGGAGGAGCCCAATGGCATACATGGGCATTGCCATCGGGTCTCCCTGGGTGGTGCCCTCCTCAGAAAGAAGACACTCCCCATCGACTAACAACGTGCAGGATGCCGGTAGGTGTTGGTGACGGCACCCGCGATGGCCGGACAGAGGTGACGGATGTTGTGCAAGCACACACTGCGGTTCAGCCTGTTGAACGCATTGCTCGCGTCTGCTCGGAGGACTGCTTCGGTCTCTTCCTCATACCATAGGTGCCGCATTGCGTGGATTGCTGCTTCCACACCACATTCTTTGCCGCCACACAGCTGAAGCGACCTGACCGCCTGTTGGATCTGCTCTCCGATTATGGTGAGGATGGCTTTGCCTACTATCCTTCTGAGGACTTCACATATGCCGATTGGGCGCACCCCGGGCTTCTTATCCAGGGGCACCAAGCGACATGCCGTGAATGACT